TATATATATATATAATTTGTCTCTGAAAAGCAGCAAAGGTCCATACCTCTCCCAGGTCCTCAAGGGAAGATCGTGTCCAACCATCATTTTATTCTTTCATTTGAAAAAACTGTATTTCACACACATTGAGACCTATGTGTATTGTTGTGATGAAAGGTAGGTAGCATTCAGGTGCAACAGCTGTGTGAATGTGACCATGTGGGTCAGGATCAAGGTCTTGGGTCCCGAGATTTCTGACATTTGTGGCAGTTTGTCTTTGTTGATGGAATATAAAGGTAAAAGAGCATGTGATTTTTGTGACTGTGCCTTGAGTGCTCCTTTGAATGTTTCTTTAGCCTGGAATTTAAATGCCCAAGAGGTGAGTAGGGACAACCATGTATGTTCAGATATAAACTGCCATGTTTGCTGAGAGTCAAAGGAAACACAAGGATATTTGCTGTGGGTGAAAACCTGGTAGAATATAAAAGACACATACCATTCTCTTACATATATGGGGGATTACAAAAATAACTAGGGGATTGATAACTCTCAAGGTAGGGTCAAGGGGCTTCCTCTAAAGTGAGTGAGGATGATGGGAGGGAAGCAAGCACAGGGGAGATCAGTTAGAGTTCTTGGTATCACTGTCATCTGCCTATGTCACCATTGATTATATGGAGCCAATCCCATTGCCAAGGAATTCCTCACAGTCGTGGTCAGAATGGGAAATATATTGGAAATGTAATATATGGGAAATATAATATAAATATAAGTAAACATAGTAAAAAGTATATAAAATATGGGAAATATAAGTAAGCATAATAAAAAGTATATAAATACCAAATATATATAAATTATAAATAATATGTTTATTATATATAGCATACATAATATAATAAATATAAAAATATATAAATATAAAAATATAGTAAATATGGTAAATATAAAAACTGGGACCAGAAGAATATTTGCAATTATCCCCTATTGAAACATCAGGAGAAGCAGAAAATTAAAGGCAGAATGTTTATTTCTCTTCCTCCAAGGCCTAGTCTCCAAGTCTGAATATTCCTGCATGTTTCTATGTTTTACTCAGCCCAAAGAAACATATAAAAGATACAGAGAGCTTGATCTGTGCTGCTACCTTCTCTCGGTATCCTAGACTGAGAATCCCTGCCATCTCTGTACCTCTGACTTCTCATCTCTGATTCCTCAGATCTGTAAGATCCTCAGGATCAGCAGAACCAAGAAAATGCCACCAGAAAGAAATCTCTGACCTCTTGTGTGATCATTGGTGTGCAACTGAAAGCTTCTGCATTTGTGCATGAGTTTTGTTTGTGCATTTTTGCATAAATGCTAGTTCTGAGTACACGTGGTTTTCTAGTTTTCCAATGTTGTTCTGAAAAACAGTTGTTTCATTGTGTGGTTCTATCCCAGAGTGGAACTTTTTCTCTCTTTGCTTCCAGGTGCAATGTCCTGAGTTGCTTTCCTCTTCATACCCTGATGTCATGAAGTTCTTTTTCACTTCTAGCCCAGAATGATTGAGTTGGCCATCTAAGCACTGAGACTTCAGAAACCACGAGACACAAATAAATTTTCTTCCTCTAAAATTGATTTTTTCAGATCTTTTGCTTGCAATGTTGAAAAAGCTGATTAAAACCTATATTATTGATGATCACACAACTTGATAAATACACTAACATCTTGAATATAACTCTTTGATCAAGTGCACTTTATGGTATATACACTATGTGATAGTAAAGCTGTTTTAAAAACAACACAAAAGTGATTAACAATAACTGACTCTTTTTATTGTTTGTTTGTTGTTACCAGGGATTGAACCTAGAGGTACTTAAACATTGATCCATATCCCCAGTCCATGTTATTTTTATTTTTTTTTAAATTTTGAGACAAACTTTACGAAATGCTTAGGACCTTAATAAGTTGCTGAGACTAGCTTGGAACTTGCAGCTAATTCTTCTGCCTCAGTCTTTTGAACTGCTGGGAATATAGTCATGATCCACCATACCTGGCCCAATGATGGACTCTTTCAGGTGAGCTTATGCTATGAGAGTCAGACCTTGCATGTGCAGTATGCAAGAGTCACCTCTTTTTTATGAGATGGTCAGCCTCTCATGAGGGCAAGGGCAGGTTTTTGTCTCAGTTCCCCATGCATCTGAAGCACTGTGTGAGCACTGAGGCTACTGTCCCATGTTGAACAGTAATAATTGGCCTCATCCTCCACTTGGAGCCCAGTGATGGTCAGGGTGGCTGTGTTGCCAGAATGGGAGCCAGAGAAGCGATCAGGGATCCCTGAAGGCCTTGTAGTACCAAGCATCACAGTTTTGGGGGCAGAACCTAGAATCTGTTGATACCAGCCTGCATAATAAGTTCCAACATTGTTGCTATTTCCAACGCAGGAGAGACTGACCTTCTCCCCTTTAGATGCTGACATCGAAGATTCTTGAATCAACTTAGACTGTGCCTGGGACCCTAGAACAGAGAAAGTAGTTACATAGAGAGATGAGCCTGGGGTTACTACCTGTACTATGGTTACCCCCTAAAAAGAAAAGATGGACCCAAGTTGTCCCACCATCCCTTTTGCTTTCCATAGCGAGTCACCTGAACAGAGAGCGAGGAGGGTGAGAAGGAGATGGGCCCAGACCATGGTGGAGATGCTCCAGGACCTGCTTCCCCCACACACAGCTGAGCAGAACTGCCCACAGTCTCTTATTTTGTCACTCATGTGAGGACAGAAATAAAAACTTTTATGCAAATCATCACCCTCCCCCTGATACTTCTTAGACTGAGTGTGGTCTAAGCAGAGTATAGAGTGGTGCCTCTCCTGAGATCCCAGAGGACAGAGCTGCTGGGACTAATGACCACAGAGCAAAGGGCCTGGCTTTCCAGCTGAGAACTCCCACAGGCCATCAGGTGCCAGGGTTTATTCACCCGAGGTGAATGTTCTGGAGTTCCCAGAGATATCCTGGAAACCAGCATTGCCCTGCACTTATCAGTACCTGCAGAGGGATAGAGTGTCATATCACCTAGGTGCTCCTTATTATGCTGCTGGGTGCTCATTACATTTCAAAGTCCTGGCTTCCTCAGAAGACATATAAGAAGAATGACATCAAACTGTCCTTTGACTGTTCAGATTATTGTGTGATGGGAGGGACAGGTGAGTGAACCTCAGAAGGGACATATCTTGCTGTCAGGCAAAACATCCGGGGCCATTAAGAACCCCTCCATGACTTCTGCATGAGCCAAATGGAATCTGTTGTCTCCCTCTCTCATCACATACCTCCCCCCACTATGGCAGGCCAGTCTCCTTAGCCTATTTCACTGTACCATAGTCTTCCTAGATGGACTGTGTTCATGAATAAAAACACAAAGAGGACTCCTCAAGACAATTCCTTTCTCATTATAGACAGAAAGTCCTGCTGATCCTATTCTCTTCCACCTGGGGAGGTGATGGAAGGCAAACACTTGCCAGGAGGCATCCCATAGCCAGAGCCTCAGGGTGGAATCCAGGGCCCATGGTCTCCCTCATCAGATGGGTCATGTACATCAGGGTGGAGTAAAACTTGAGCAGAAGCCCAGAAGGGCTGGCATTGTAAAGAGAGAGAAAAATATTTCCCAGAATTTTCCCGGTCTGTCTGAGCTCTGTGTCAGAGTGTCATATTATTTTTGACTAGTCATCAGATCTTCTGTAGCTCTTACTGTGTGTCTGATAGTTTTCAACTCACATTAAAGATACTAATATCATTACTGCCTCTAGTGACCTAATCCACAACTGATATTGTATGATAATCATATGAATAAACATACATATGCTTATGTATATATCTATACTTATGCATGTACATATGAATATATGATTTTCATTTAGAATTTGTCACCAAAATCATTAGCACAGTATCTCATGGTGAGTCTGATAAACCCAGAGATGCCTGTGCCTTGAATTTTTCCATCATTGAAACCCCAATTCTCTGGAGAATCAGCCACCTCAATGGGCTAAGACTTTAGGGGAGGAGCAGAAGGCAGTCAAGGCTAATTCAGGATGGGTCAACCTGAGACTCTGGAGTCCTCTTCAGGGTATTTTGTTTCACTCTATTTTTTGAAGTTAGGATAAAGGCCACACTGTACCAGGGCATGGAAAGTTAGACAGTGAAGGTGTTCCTGATGACCATTTCCATAAATCCTTCAGCATATCAAATGCGTAGAGAAAGGGTGAGGAGTTGAAGCCAGACCAGGATAGAGTGTTCCCTCAGTCAACTTCCTGAAATTCCAGAGTATGGACATAGCTACAGCATCTCTGATTCTCTCTCCACTCTTTTGTTGAAAGTGATTCTTATGTGAGTATGTCAATAATTCCTGAGTATCTCCAGCTACATTGAAGTACCAGTATGAGCAGCAGATATTTTAAGGTACAGAGAGTAGATATTTTGTTGAGCCTGATGGAATGGGGTGAAAGACTGATGCTGCAGGTCACTGTGCTCAATGAGAGATCACAGCCACAGTCACAATGCATTATGGAGGAGATTCCATTAGCTCAGCATCCCTGATTCCATAGAGAACCACTTCTTCTGAGTCTCCATGAGAAAATATGTCCCCAGAGAGTGTGTTAATTAGATTTCCATTTCTAGTAATTAACTAGAAGAGATAAGGAAAAATGGTACATTCTAGCCTACAGATTCATAGACTTCAGTCCATGTCACTTGAGTCTGCAGTGGCATATGATATCATGGTAGAATGCATAGTGGAGAAGTTCTGTTTACTTCATGGCAGCTCTGAAGCAAAGAAAGAGAGGAGAGTGCCAAAGTTCTAACATCCTGTTCAAGGGAACAGCCCAAATGATCTAATTTTCTTGGAAAGGCCTCACATCATAAATGTTTCACCACCTCCAAGAGCACCTCTTGCTGCAGACCAAGCTTTTAACAATTGGGTTTTTGGAGGAATTTTTTAGATTCAAATGACTAGCATATGAAGAGAATGCAACCCCACTCTTGGAGCTGATAAGTGGGGCTAGATTTGTGGCAGATTGAACCTGTGACTGATGAGGTGCTCTCAGATCATACAAGTCTGTGTGTCAGGCCTAGTTGCTGCATTGGACACAGCTGGAAGAAAACAGCCCAAAGAAGTTATTTACACCATTGAAAAAAAAATGTCAAGGTAAGAAGAAGTTATTTGTAATATATGGTTTTAAGATTTTCTCTAGGGAAAAAGATAAGAGATTTGCACATTTATAATTAGTAGAAACTCTATTGGATGTCCCCCAAAATGTTAAGAAGTCACCATCTGGTTTAGACTTAGTCTTAAAGAATGCACCTATGAGAGCACAAGTCAGGGAGAAAACAAGGGGAGTTTTAAATCTCATTTCTTCCTTGGTCTGGATCACTGTGCAAGTGCTACTGTTAGTATGAAGCATTAGACAGTAATAATCAGCCTTACCCTCTTGGTGAAGGCCTGAGATGAGTAAAAATCCAGCATTGGCTGAGGCATCTTTAGATCCAGAGAAGGGGCTGAGAACTCCAGAACCCTGGTTCTTTTCAGAGTCTAAGTGGTATCTTAGCAGAAACTGGGACTCGTTCTCTGGCTTCTGCTAGTACCAGGTTGTATGATAGCCAGTAATGATATCACCACTGCTCAGGGTGCAAGAGAGTCTGACAGTTGCTCCAGAATATGCAGAGATGGAGGGCAGCTGAGTCAACACAGGCTGGGAGAGGGAACCTGTGAACACAGAGAGTCATGGGTAAGCAGTCAAGGACAAAGTTAGAGCTGTTGATAGAGTCTAGCTAGAGGACTGACTTAGGCCAGGGACCTTTTCCTAGATATGTGAGGATTGTCCCTATCTGAGAAGTGACACAACAGTAGGAGAAAAAGGGGGACCCTGGCCATGGTGAATACAACCGTTCTGGAGTCCAGACCTGGTGTGGACCATTCTAGGCCTCTCTTATCCCTTCCCTGTTGACTTAGAGAAGGTGACAATTATGCAAATATATTCCCACCTACAGTCTTTTTATGCACCACTTATTCAGTGTTTGTAGACATGGAGGTGTAGCATTTAGCATCTCCAGAGGGGGTGATATAACAACAGGGTGCTGGAACAACACAGAACACAAATTCGGATTCCACCCTGAGTTACACTGGATTCACTTTCCTCTGCCACCTTCACCTAAATTCGGGATCTGTGTGGACTTCTCCATCTTTGAGCATACTCTGTTTCCATAGAAATCATTTCCTATTCCTTCTCTGTCCTATTTTTCTTTTTCATGCATGTTTCCATTAAGACTCCATGGAAGGGCTGGGGCTGTAGCTCAGTGGTAGAGCACCTGCCTTGCTTGTGTGAGGCACTGGGTCCTCAGCACCAAGTAAAAATGAATAAATAAAGATATTGTATAAACAAACAAGCAAACAAACAAAGACTCCATGCCTATTGACAGATGTTATTGTGTTCAGCACTGAGCTCAGCTCTCTATCACTAATACTAATAGTATCCCTGTTCTTGAGGGGTTTGCTTTTTCAAATGAAAAGCCCACAAGGAACGAATAAGACAGTGAATGTACAATTTTCCATAAAAGAGAAGGGCAGTCATAGACATGTCACTACCATGG